TTAGAACATTTTAGTGTGCATAATTACAAACATAACATATACTGTAATTCCCCATGTATAATACACATTTTTTCTAAAAACAAATACTAAGCAAAATTAGGGGTGAATATTATGCACAGCTTCAAAAATATCTTTAAAAAGTTGCCGTTTCATAGTTCGATTTCAGTTGCGAAATAACTGCCCACCACAAACATACGACAATTTGACACTAACATTCGGTGATTGCGACCCCATAAGGATGTCAAATACAATCATACGTACCTAGCAATACTTACAAATGTAAAATAAAATAAGAATTATCACAAAACTAAATTAGAATATTATTATTCTGTTTAAAACCATTTTTTTTAAATAAGAGTAGGAAACGCTGGTCGTAATGAAATTGGAGAGTTACAATTTATAGGGTTTGATTACTAACCCAAAGGTGCATATTATGTGTGAGTAAAAGCATTTTCCCACACTTTCAGCACAATTTTAGGGGTGTCTATTATGAATGAAGGCGTATTATACATGGTGGAATTACGGTAGGTCATATTTCTAGTGATGCGAAATATCTGGGGAGTTGAGAAGAGTTTTTTGTGTGTGCGGAATGTTATAAATTTTGTAAGACATTGCTAAATGAATCAAAGAAATTCTTGGCTCAAATTGAAGATTTTGTGTAAATGTGTTCAACACTTCCTATTCATCAGTTCGTCGGCTCTCTGTAGATATGTTCACCTCTCTACGCGCCATCAGTTCCAAGTTTGATTTTAATTTGTTGCAAAAGATTAAAATCATTTAGAGATCGAGCTTTTGTGAAAATGTTTTCAGAGAGGAACAGATGTGTCTAGATCTCAAAACTGCAATGGTCATGTGGAATTTGAAAATATTTCTTTCTTGAGTATCGACATATGAATAATCTTAGGAGGAACGAAATTACTGAATCATCGAATCCCATTGAGGATTACAAACCGGTTGATCTTTGAGCCAATAAATGACTATTTATTTGAATTGATTTTCTTTATCCATGTTTTGGAAATATTTCTTTAGCATATTGTTTAGTTGTCTCTGAACAAGATGGCGGTAAGTATCTGTCTATATCTCTGAGATGAGGTATTATGCTTACCTGTATTATTTACATTATTCGGAGAGTTATCCTAATCTTCATTGCTATATTCACAACGTTTTGGTCGTTGTACGCTACGGCCTTCTTCAAGTGAACAATTGACTTCGGTGGACGAAATAAAGGGTTCGGTTCGAAATTCCAATCACTTGATGAAGGTCGGATCGTACAACGGTCGAAACCTTGCGAATATGGCAATGAAGATGAGGATAACAGTCCGAATAATGTAAATACTGCAAGTAATCATAATACCCCATTCGAGAGATATAGATGCCGAAACGTTGTGAATAGGGCAATGAAGATGAGGATAACAGTCCGAATAATGTAAATACTGCAAGTAATCATAATACCTCATTCGAGAGATATAGAGGCCGAAACGTTGTGAATAGGGCAATGAAGATGAGGATAACAGTCCGAATAATGTAAATAATACAGGTAATACCGATAAGTGTTGATGACATTCACTCAGTGTCGTTTCTTTTCATTTCTCCTAATATTTAAAAAAAAAAAAAAATGAAGGGAGCTAAGAAAATATTTTCACTATTCAAGTATATCAATTATAGTAAATTACATATCACTCTTATGATGTGACAATATTCTTTTGAATTTTAGTGGCTTTTCCAACTTTCACATTATGATTCAACTTCGTGAAATTCCAAATAACATACGCACTCGTAAATAAACGATGTGTTAAAATGGCGTTTGTTTTTATCTAGACATCGCCATTACTGTATAATTTAATATCTTTTAATTTCAAACTATTTTAGTGAATTTAGACATTTTTATAAATTTATGAAATAAAAAAAATTAAACATATCTTTGTTCGTGAGATTAGCCTTTTAAAAACTTGCAACTGGTAACATAGCTATTAATTTGAGATTTCGAAATTGAGGACATTTCATTCAAATCGCTTCCGTTTGTTTAGTGCAAAAACAAACCAGCTTTCATTCTAGCTGTGCAGTTAGAGAGGCTACAATCTTTCAACGAATAATCCTTTCATTTCTAATAAGTATTTCTTTCCCGATAAAACACGGAGCGGCCAATATTGTGAGACAGAATGTAGATCAGTCGGACCGTCGCAAATGCAGAATTTTGAAAGTGCAACGGACAGGAGCAATGATTTTTGAAATGATATCATTCGCAATATTATTATGAAGAAATTATCGAATAAAGATAAAGAGAGACCACCGTGCTGTGAGAAAGAGAGAGGGTGAGGAAAAGAGAGAGAAAGAGGGTTATGAGAAAAAAAAAAGGGAGGTAAAGTGGGAATGAGCGAGCGAAAGAAGAGAGAGAGTGCATGCGCGAGAGAAAGGGTATAAAAGAGAAATGGGGGAAGAGAGAGTGTGTGAGAGAGAGAGAGAGATAAGATTAATGTGACAACAAATATTGAAAAGCAAATCAGTACATTAAAAGAATGTATTTTTTGCCACACGTATTTTTAAATCACAAAGTCAGAAAAATAAGATAAATTCAAAACGAATGTAAAAATGAAATATTTATTATAACAAATCCCTTTTAAACAAACAAAAAAAGCAATATAAATGAAAAAAAGAAAAAAATTAAAAACAAAAATAAATAAAACTAATTTTTTGCATACGCCAAATAGCCATCTTTTCTAGTTAAAATTATTCTAATTTGACAAAGTTTCAGCTGACACTATAACAGCCATTTATTACAAACGCAGTGTTGCTTTTATACAATAACACTTCTGGAAAGTTCAAAGTGAACAACATTTGAAATGAAATAAATAAGGGAATGTAAACTCAGTTCGAATTTTATCGAATAAAGAAAAAAATAAATAAATAAATAAAATTAATCTAGAGAAAAAATAAATTCTTAGGGAAAGAAAAAAATCTTCAATTTTGGATAAATTTCACTGATTTCTTTCTTGGAATGGAAACGAAGAGAAATAATCATTTATACTTAAAAGACAAATCTATGTGAATGTTTTGCAGGTCACAGATAAAAACAAATTCAAACGAAACAAAAAGATTCAAATGTGCTCGTACGAATACGTTTTGCTTCTTTTGGGGAAACGGCAAGAATATAGCTCTTGAGTATCTTACCAGTTTAAGTGTAAATTTCATATTTTAATTTCTAAAATTCAATTATTTAAATAAAGCTCAAGTAATACTTTGACCCACGAGCCAGTCTTGGGATGAAAGTTTTTGTTGCGCGCAAAGGTTAGTTTTAGTAGAGAACCAAGTTTAAGAAATCAGTGTCACTTACGATATTCAATGTGTTTTTGGATGTGTTTAGGTGTTTATGAGATGTAATCGAAGAAGTGTAAGACTGGTGTAGGCGACAAAGAAGAGATGATTTACTATCGGTTTTAACGAGTTTAAGTACGATATTGAATAGGGACTAAACGGAAAATCAACATAAAAAGTTGAAATCTGAAGATAAAAATATTTAGAAGGAAAATTGGACGGCGATATAAAAAATGTTCAGAATCAATTGAAATGTTGAACATTTTGACTGGAGATTTTTTTTTCGTGAAACGATTTGATTGTCATTCACGATCAGTTTTCATCTGATGAATAAATAGAGAGAAATAGTAAATAGTTTACAGTAATAACGTAGGTTAGAAATTAGAGCGAAAATGATAAGAAAAAGACAGAATTTAATCTCGTGTTTATATAACATGAATAAATAAATAATTTTGTGACACATTTGTAGTCAAATAAATTACGTGGATCCAATTGGCATTTTTTCTATTAGGATCCACACCTCCAGCAAGCAATAGAGATCGTCGTTGCTTTAAAAGGGAGACTTCCATTTGGATCCTTCATAAATTTATAGAAGATAACAGATCTGATAAATTGAAAACAGGTTAGGAAGTATTAGTTTTACTCATAGACTTTCACTACGAGAAGACATAAATAATTTCTCTGTTCTGTTACATTGTCCACACATTTGATAAAGTAAGAGATCAAGAAAGTGGACAGACGTAGTTTTTGTTAGAAGCAACTAACAAATTAAAAAAAATGCATTCTTACAAAATCCATGCAAAACAAGTAAATGCTAAATTTGTGTATGTTCGTGTTTCTGCGTGAGGCCAACACGACGCCGTAAAATAAAACAAAAATTGAAAAATTAAGGGAAATGTTTTCATGGGTTTTGTATTCATTTTTAGAATTCTTGCTTGGAGTAATTTTTTTTGTCTGACTGAATTGCTACAGGCCATAATAGAATTACTGCCGTTCGAATTGAACTCACCTCGAGAAAAAAAAAATGACTACTTAAAATGTTCGATTTACAAGATCCGGAGGCAAAAAGCTAACTGAAGGGAGTGAAATACACAAATATATATTTAAACACATAGAAGCATATGTATTTCAGAAATACCGACGAATAAGAAAGTGCTTGTGTTTTGGAGACAGATTTCTGCATCACATGGATATTGTTCAACAAATTAGAAAGTAGTTCCATCATTGCCAAACAGTGACATCATTTAGAAACCTAGGATTGAATGATAACCAATGGCTAGAAGATCTTTGTTCTTACTATTTTGTTCTTGGATAAGTGAACGTGTCGATACAAAATACTTAATTGACAGACGTGCTCACAACTTTGAACAAATCGGAAAATGTCTTAATGTCATGTATTGCAAATGAGGGAAAGTCTTTGCGAAATTGAAGAACAAGGAAGATACCAAAATGAACTTCGTGTACACATTAGAAAAAAAATAGCAAGTAAAACTACAGCATTGATTTTTTAAAAAACGTCTTTTGGTACAATCTAAATAGGAAGATATCCAATAATAATTGGAGAGTTCTTGGTTTAGAGGGAGTCCTGATTGGGTGGAGACTGGCCAGTTATCCTGTTGTGGCGTCATAGCTTCAGCCATGTTGGTTGGCAGAGATGAATAAAAGAATCGATTTTAGACGAAGGACATTTACATCCGATCTGAATAATAGGGCGTGGTCGATTCCTTCCTTTTATCATGAAGGATGTGGATGTAAAAAGAGGAGAGGCTGCGTTTGCGGCGTCGAATCATCTTAAAAACATTCTCAAGTTCTTGGGTTGCTGAAAATGGAAAGGCAAAGAAAAATTAGAAAAAAAAAAAAAGATTAAAATAGGAACAGCATTTCTTATACTTGAATATTCTAAAACAAAATTCTGACAGTCCAACGATCTATTCTAGAAACATTCTGGCGAGCAAATAGCATTTAGTTTTTAGACAATAATTCAGTCAGTTAAGTGCAGTATGAGCCTACGCTCGGGCGATCATGTCTTTTGGTATTCATGACTGACTAGAAAGATTTTCCCGCAGTACGTTGCAATTGCTTTCTGCGGTAGACTAGTTTCCAACCAAGGCTAAAGAGCTGATTCTATTTTGCTATTCAACTCATAGCTGGGGGAAGAAGAGATCAATTCATACCTTCCCCAGGATTATTTCTGCGTAACTAAAATAATAAGCACTTTTTATTTGTTAACTATTTTCTCATAATAATAATTCATCGAATCTAGAACAAGAATTCTGAATAGAATGCAGAAAATACTGGACAATCGTTTCGGTCTGTCTAGAAGTTAGCAGCAGTGAATTTGAAGTAGCTGCGATATATTAAATCTAGTAAGTTTTGCCCGTTGGCCCAGTGGTAAAATGCTTGCGGTGTATCGTAACGGTCCGGTTTCTATTCTTATTAGTGGATAGGCATTCCTGTTAATAAGTCCCCAAAACAGCCGTCAAGTGCCTTTTGCATTCTGTTGAGGATACTTGTTCGAGACGCGATGAATTATGAGAAATTATTCAAATCTTAAAAAATTCTATTACATACACACACATATATATATATATATATATATATATATATATATACACACACACACATGTATGTGTTTTGTACCCACTCACGTCCTGTTGACAGTGTATATATATATATATATATATATATATATATATACACACACTGTCAACAGGACGTGCGAGTGGTGCAATGGTTAGTCAAAATTAGTTACATTTATTTTTGCACAAATCCACACGGGGAAATGTATGAATCTTCCTCTCCAGCTATGGTAGGTTAGAATGTTTATCAGCCTTAGTTGGCAATCAGTCTTTGAGAAGGAAAATTTCCAAACTCGTGTAGATGAAACTCGTTAGCGTGGTAACATGTCGTAGTCTAAGGAAAGACTACCCGACAGATAACCCACCCATGCCTCATAGTACAAAGGTTGGGCATAGCGGCTAATCACCCCACATCATAGAACAATTCGATTACAGAAAACTCATCAGAGGCCTTATGTGTCACAAGGTATCAGGCAGATAAAATAATAATAATAATAATAATAATAATAATAATAACAAGATTGGTATGAACACCACCCAGACCCGGTTACGGAGATAGGACCTGTAATAATTTTATGGGATTATACAATATACACATACAGAACAATCAAAGTTAATCGGCCAGACATTGTTATTAGAGACCGCAAACAAAAAATTGCCTTATTATTTATATGACCGTCCCCTGCAAACTGCAATGTGTACTTAAAGATCTTCGAAAATCTATCAAAGTACAAGGATTTTAAATTCGAAATCTCAAAAGTGTGGCACATGAGATCAACAATCCCTGTTGTGGTTCGAGCCCTCATATTGATTGGAAAAGATTCCAGTAGACCCATTGAAGGGATTCCTGGTAGCCCATGCCTTAAAGAAATACAAGGTTCTCACGAGTACAGCCCACACCTTACGAAGAGCTTTATCTATGTAAAATATGTGATTTTTTAATTTTTAATTGCTCAGTGGAAAATGTCATAATGCCATTTCTGACCTTAGATCTCTGGGTGGGACCCGTAAAGAAATGAATATACACCAGAAATAAAAGGAAATAAAATAATAAATGATCTGTGGAAAATGTCATTTAGCCATTTCTGATCTTAGGTTGGGACCCAGGAGGAAATGTGTATATAACAGAAATCCTAGGAAGTAATAATAATACTGCCAAGAGAAATATTTCTAGAAAGGTTTGTAGAAGAGGTTTTTTTTCTTCAGACTTTCATAATTTGTTTCGTTTTTAAGAGGAAATCCGACATGAAGAGAAAACAAATTTACTCAAAGATTTTTTCAGAGGTGAAAACAAATGACAATATTAAATAGTGAATATTTTAAAGATCTGAGGCCAACTCAGAAACATGGCGTTTCTTTTGAGCGTTAAAGCCAAGAGAAATAAAAATCAAAATCTTTACGTTGAAAATATTTTGTTTCGTTATCTGTTCTTTCGAAACATTTCATACAGGCCCAATAACCCAGCAAAGTTACGATTAAATTCATTTTTTTGATAAAAAATCTTGTATGATTCAAATTAATAATCGAGTGGCTCACCTTTGCTTAATTTGTCCATGTCGTTAGGGGTCATAAACAGAGAGAGTCCGTCAGGGACGAGTTGATGTGAAGCTGCCGGTGCTGAGAAAACGGCTTCCATGACGAAACAGGTAACCAAGATGAGCATCATCAATTGACGAGACATTTTTAGAAATCTGCAAATAACATGTAATAATAATAATAATAATAATAATAATAATAATAGTAATAATAATAATAACATGTAATAATAATAAGATAGATGGCGATATTTAAATTTTGGTAAGTGCAGTCATTTATCTTGAATGTCATTAACAGTAAAAAAGAAAGCTAGTGGGAATTTTCTCGAAAAACGATATTTTTTAGAGTTTAAATATTTGATGCGTTTTTGAAATTCTTCTCATCGCCATTATGATGTAACTTAGATATGGCACAAGGTCGAAAGTACGGGGCACACAGTAAGGATCGGACTCACTATTCAATCGTAACTGATCTAGCGAAACAAGCTTGCTAACAATTACACCACGTCGAAGTGTCACGATTTACTAAGCGTAGCTTAGATGTGGCAAGAGGCCGAAAGTGTTAAGGTAAGTCATATTTCTCAAATATTCTGATGAAAAAAGTGAAATTACAGTCACTTGATTGTGGTTCCTTTGAAGATTGATTAAAATAAATTTTATGTCCATCCTGAGTATGACGATAAACTACATCCGCGTCCTGGGTAAGACGACAAACTATATCCGACAGCAAGGCCTTTGATCAGGAGGTTTTGAGGAGTAAGGGGCCACCTCTTAATTGCTGCTGTTCCTAGGTCCACCCTAACCCGGGGTGGTAGTACCTGTCAGGGTCCCAGTTAGGGGCAAATAGTTAACCCCCTAAAAGGGGTCAAAACACTATGAAAGTATAAAAATAGGTTTTAATACCAGCAATACTTTTGGAAAAATTTTACCAGCAATACATTTTTGAAAAAAAAAATATTACCAGCAATATATGTTAAAAAAATAAAAAAAATACCAGCAATAAAAATCTTGTCGGCATTGAATAACCCATTGAGGTTAATATGCCGTAAAACAAATCAAACTATATCATGTCCGTTAAAATATTAACAATTCTCCAAAGAATAAGACAATGTATTCGGGGGGTCCACAATTTCGAATGTAGTGTAATTGAAACTTGTAAAATAATATTTCATGTACATAAAATATCTTTGTAATATGAAGATAGATCGGATCTTATTGGTAAAATAAAAAGCTGTAATTAGTACGAATAATAGAGTGCATGTTTAAAAGCCAAGAGAGAAGATGGGTGCTGTCAGATAAGACCAGAGGTTTTACTTCTTACTCCTGGTAGAATTTCTAATTTTAACGCATCAAATCAGATTTTCTTCGAACATATTTAAACATGTGAATACCATATAGGGAAGGAGGGGCGCAGTAAAAATGAATATTTTTTAACGTACCAAATCTATTACCAAATTAAAAGTCTAAAACAATACAGAAATGAAAAGGTTTTCATTTGAATAGACCGCGAATTTGCTTGGATAGGAGAGAGGAAAAATGTCGAAGATGTTTTTTTTTTCGACTTCAAAAAATCGACTTGAAATAATTGCCAGTGTAAGTGAGTAGAATATGGGAAAACAAATATTTCTGTGAATTAAAAAATAAAACCGAAAAAGAAAGAACTCACGTGTGGACAGGAAAACTGTTGGTTTTTCGGAGAGAGATTTTGTTCTGGACGAGCTTGTTGGTAAGATTGGAATGATAGCTGATCACAACGGGTTGCTGCCAGCTTTTATAGTAACAAGCCGGTCACGGGCAAAAAAGAGGCTGGCCTTAAGCAAGTCTGTGTTGGGAAAAAGGAAGTTACAATGGGTGTGTGCGTATGTGCGTGTGTGTGTGTGTGAGAGAGAGAGAGAGAAAGAGAGAGAGCATAGGTTGGTGCGATGGGGAGAAAGTCTAAGAGGAGCGTGGGAAAAGAAATTTGAAACAGAATTTGAGGGCGGCTAAAAACGTAATTGTCGGTTGTTAGGCGAAATAAAAGGAAAGAGAAGAAAGATGAAAATGAATCTAGGAAAGAAGACATGAAAGAAGAAGAAATATTGACGCACGTATGCGTGTGTGTGTGTGTGTGCTTGTATATATGTATGTGTGTGTGTGTGTGTGTGTGTGAATGTGCACGCAAAGTGACATTAAATGGCTGAAAAGAACTCCCGAGCCTTGTAGTAAAATGATAGGAGGAGCCGAAGGCAAAGTACATGCCAGAAGTAGACACTCAAAATTGAGAAAGAGAAGAAGAAGAAGAAGAAGAAGAAGAAGAAGAAGAAGAAGAAGAAGAAGAAGAAGAAGAAGAAGAAGAAGAAGAAATCAAGCTTTGTAGCCAATTGGAAAAGATCAGGAAAACCCAGTGAGATTCCAGTATCACGCCACCTACACGTCTCCACCATATTTGGAGTTGCGTCTGGCCGATTGGATCTTCATAGGAACGACCAGGGAGTGGGAGGTGTCGTGGAGGTGGTTCCTGCAGTCGCGCAATTCGCTGTTCACAGACAGGTGATCAGCTGATTGAGTACATCTTTTCACGCATATTCAACATATACATAATGTAAGACGGAGTAACGCACTTCTATAACGTATCATTATTAAGCGCTCTACAATCGTGGCCTTGTGCCAAATTAAGCTAAAATGGTTTAAATGCAAGTTTTGAGATTAAAATGACTATTTGACCAAAATTTAATCATTTGAGATTAAAAAGACTGTTTGACCAAAATTTAATCATTCTTTTCCAAGAGTCTTTTGTTAATTTCTATCTATCTATCTATCTATCTATCTATCTATCTATCTATCTAGGGCCGGTAGAAAGGTTTCGTGACCCCCCGCACCCGCGAATCTATGATATGGATGTCCCCCCACTGTATTACATCTCAATTTTCATAAGGTTGCATTCATATAAAATATTATGTACAATAATGGATCATATGCAATATAAGTGAACAATTCAAGTAGAAAAATTGAAAATAAATACAATGTATCTAAATACAAATTAGAGACCTGTCATAATAGATCATCCCATCTTAAATAAATCAACAATGTTTTGCGGCAAATTTTTAACATCGACTTGAGATTTTCTTGTTAAAAAGTTTGAGAATTTTAACACGTTCAACATTATGGATAAAATATAATGAATTTTTTTAGAGTGTTTTTTTTTTTCGAGTCTTGGCAAGAGCAAAACAAATTCACGGATTTGGTTAAAAAAAATATAACATCAATTTGATATTTTTCTGAAATTTTAGTGAATTTTAAATTGTTTTTTTTTTTCAAGATTTAACATGAGCAAAACAAATCGACGGATTTGAACAAAAAAAACAAAAAAACCCCAACCCCCCCCAAAAAAAACAGAATTACGTCAAACTCCGCAAAAAAAATTAATTCTGTAATAGTCAGTTGTCCTTAGTTTAATTTGTAACATATATAAATATAGGTAAAAAAAAAAAGGAAATGTTGATAAGATAGCGAGGGTCACAATTTTAAACATATTTTTTAACCCAACCACATCTTCAAGCAAAGACATTCCACAATTTTAACGATTTTTCTACAAAATCATTTGAAATTACTAAACTTGAGACAGAGAAAATAAATTTTGTTTTCTAATATAAAATTTGTGATAATATAAAACAAAATGAACGAATTCGTTTATCAGAGTAACAACGTTCCATTGGCTTCCAAGCTTGAAAGGCAACGACGATTGAGTGACTTATTTAGTTCAGCACAAATCCCTCAAGAGTAGAGTATCAAATGAGGATCGAACTCACTATCCGAATCATGATCTACAAGATTAGCTTACTGTCTATTAATAGTTTATTTTGAGGACCCCACACAAAGGAATGATTTGTCTTCTTCCTTTTATATCGAGAGAACCATAAAAACCACAATTGCTTAGTATCAACCGAAACGAATAAACATAAAACATTACCATTTTAATTCTCTTTGTTTTCTTATCAGTAAGAGAATTTTTTTAAAAATAGAAACAGAGAGAGAGAGAGAGAGAGAGAGAGAGAGAGAGAGACAGACAGACAGACAGACAGACAGAGAGAGAAAGAAAGAGAAAGAGAGAGAAAGTAATCTGAAAGAGAGAAGGAGAGATATCTGAGAAAGATACACAGAGAGAGAGAGAGAGAGAGAGAGAGAGAGAGAGATCTGAGATATAGATAGATAATAAACAGAATGAGATAGATAATGAACAAAATGAGATAGATAATGAAAAAGAATGAGATATATAGATAAATAGATAGATAGAAAGATAGATATATTACTTAAAAATCATTTCACCCCAATAAAGGCAAAAAAGCCACTAAGACGCGTGGGATTATTGAGAGTGAATGAAACGAAAAGAAGACAATAAAAGATGAGGATTCAAGGAGACAGAAGATGAAGATTGTTGTTGTATTTAAATTTTTGACGACCAGGAAAAAAATAGAAGCCGGAAGTGAGTTGTACAAGTGAAAAGCGCGAGAAAAGAAACTGTTAGCATAGAATTTACAGTTACATCTAGTCCTTTCAACAGTAAAATCATGAGACCTATCTGCTATCTAGTACAGCGCTTATATTCGTAAAGTCGAAGTACCAAAGCGGAAAGCTCATCAGATCAAAATTAGGATGAAACTACTTCTACAAAAGGCATAGGGAAGCTAAGTTACGACGTTGGGAAGCCGACTGAAGCCGAGATGCCAAGTTTGAATTGATAACATTGCAGATTCTTCTTTGGATTTTATCAAGACTCTGTAGACATATAGCAGAAGCACCAGACCTGATGTTGCAGCAATAGAAAGATCTGAAAGAAAGAAAGAAAGAAAGAAAGAGAGAGAGAGAGAGAGAGAGAGAGAGAGATCTGAGAGGAAGAAATCTGACTTTTGAATGAAAATATGAATTTTTATTACAAATTGATAATTTTAGAAAGCGAGGGGAAATTATAGGAAATTACGAAAAATCAAAAAAAAAATTATAGATATTTTTAAATTATAAAAATATGTATTGTATCAATTTAGAATTTAAACAAAGTGCAAATATTCACCTACTGTAATTGACATGTTGCCTGACTCCCATTTTTTTTTTTACGACAAGTTAAAAATAAAACGTTGTTTAATTGTATGACAGATAAAATAACAATGCCATTAATAAAAGTTCCCCGTTAGTATTGTAAATGATATTGATTTTATCAGCGAGTAACTTCAAACAACGATGTCGGTCCATCAGTTTGGGTCTTAAGAAATGGGTTTTAGCTTTTGGGTCTTAAGAAATGGCTTAAAGGCGACACAACTGCTGCATTTCTCATGTTTACGCTTTTATCTAATTAATTGTCAACTTGATTTCTGCAGCTTACAGAGAGACACACACACACACCAATAAATATACTTGAAAGTTTTAGTAAGTAGAATATTTTTGCAACACGCTAACGTGTGTTAAAATCCTTACAATTATTGAATTTATCGCTAACATTTTTTTTGAGATTTACAAACTCTACGTTTCGCTCAATTTCGCAAACCAATCGATGAAATTTAAATAAGCTGATTTGTTTGGAAAAATACTTTGACAAAAAACCTACTTCGCGATTTAAGGACTTCATGGTAAACAACATTTTTTAAGAAAATTTCTTTTTTCCTTTTTAACGGTGAAGAATAAATTCTTAGGATTTCTTACTCTTGAGCATGCAACATACAACTGGTCATGCGTAAATATTTCTTTCTGGATCTAAATTCCAACTTTTTGAAGCGTTTGGCCTTGTGATTTGTTTATCGTTCTCGCAAACGCAGGACAAACTGAAAACGGGATTCTTTTATTTATAAAAGCTTAAAGAAAAGATATGCAAAAAACAATATTGCATTTTTATTAAATAAGTATTTGTTATTTTAATCATTAAATTGTTTTTAAAATAGTGGGAGTATTTTGTATGTTAAATAATAAAACTTAATTTTTCCAAAAGAAATTAATGAAAATTTATTGTACTGAGCTATACATTCTAGTAAAACAAATTGCGTTTTGTACCCACTTACTTGTTTGCACTTGTCTCCAAAATTTGGTTTCGATTTGGTTTTCAATGTGTCGCTATTTTAGAGGTTGTGACGGACGGACGGACTAACAGAAGTCACAGAATTTTATATATAGATAACACGGATAAAAAATATATGGACATTTTTATTCAGCGTAGTCACTGTCTTTTCGTGAAAGCATAAAAATAATTTCCAATTGATTTAAGATAAAGATTAAAACAAAGGCCTATTTTCAAAACAAACGATTTTAAATTCTATATTTTAAATTCTATATTTTGAATTCTTTATTTCTTATGATAAATAAACGACACTTATTCTTATTTGGAAATTTAATTCTCCGACATGTTTTCTTGAAGAAAAACTAAAGTTTATGTTCTTCAGTTTATTGCTGATTCATTTTTTAGATGCTAATTATGTCGACACTTCGAGAGAGCTTCGACGTCAAGGACCCCGAAAATCATTTTCCCCACTCCGTGAAAATGATGTGAACTAATTTTAGTGTGCAATTTTTTACTCGTGCAACCCCACTGACTTCAAGGCCGAGCCCCCACTACTCAAAACACTAATGAATGCAACGTGCCTGCCTCGACGTTACCTGGATATTAACTGACCTCAGTTTAACACAGAATCTACTCATATTCCGTCTGAGTTTAGGAAGTGGGTCAGGACGAGAACTTTTCAGCACCATCTCGCATCTATCTATCTATCTATCTATCTATCTATCTATCTATCTATCTATCTACATAATTTATTTATCTATCTATGTACATAATCTCTATCTATCTATCTATCTATCTATCTATCTATCTATCTATCTATCTATCTATCTATCACAGTCTGTTCATGTCTATCTATCTATCCATCCATCTATCTATCTAACGCAGTCTGTTCACATGTATGTATATATATATATATGTGTGTCCCTCTCCCTCCCCCCTCTCTCTCTCTCTCTCTCTCTATATATATATATATATATATATATATATATCCGATGCGACGAGAATGAAAGTAATATATAAATTCCAACGTTCACAGCATTAATCCAAAAGAGAGCTCGATACCGATAGTAGAGCGATAATTATTTATTTATTAGAATTTTATCATATTGACAAAGTTATTTTTTTCACTACAAAGATGCAACTTGGTTTCAGTCGAAGTTGCATCTTTGTATTGAGTAAAATAGTTTTCTAAAATTATAATATATATATATATATATATATATATATATATATATATATATATATATATATATATATCACTTTTGTTCATTATCTATCTATCTATATCTATCTATCTATCTATCTATCTATCTATCTATCTATATATATATATATCTACCTACCTACCTACCTACTTATCTATCTATCTATCTATCTATCTATCTATCTATCTATCTATCT